AATACCTACGAGATCCCTATCTCTCTCTTGCTTGTCTCTTGTATCCCATCTCCACCTCTGCAGTTGCCCCTTGGTCACCCTGCATGGGGGTCCTGCCCTCCTCGTCCTCCGGCCAGGAGGTCAGCCCTCAGCCAAGCAGGGTTAAGCCAAAAGTTCGCTCCATAATCCTTTCGTGACGCTTTAATCCTGGGTGTTGTCATTGCTAGTGAAACCTGTTTCATATTTAGTGGTGAATTAATCCAGGGATCTCATCCAGCCGTTCCCTGAGTGAAACTATGATTTCAAGTTCGTTCCACACTCCCACAACTCTCCGCATAAAGAAGTACCTCCTATTGTCAGTTTTAAAAGTGAAGCACGGCGATAAGGATCTATATAACCTGACCGCCTGCTGGATTAGCAATGAGCACTCCGCTCCGGCCGACGCCCCCTCCTGCAAGCTCCTAACCTGAAGGGCAGGCCATGACTTCCACGAAGTGGTAGGGAGACTTCCCGCGCTTGAGCTTCTGCACCAGGTTCTGGATGTTGCGGAAGCCGTAGGCGAGGGCGAAGCGGAGCAGCACGGCCCCATCCCTCTCCAGGGTCACCTCCTGGAAATCCCTGTTCCTGCCAGGCCGGGGACAGAGACAGGAGGTCAGGCCTGCAGCTTGAAAGCACTGTGCACCAGGAGGGCAAGCTAATGCACCATCTGCGCTTGAATACAGCAGGCAGAGGGGTTAATCACGAGTACATTCACCCTGCCCTCCGATGCAGTGAGCGCTACCCATTCTTCTGCCTTTGGCAATTTGGGTGAGGCACTAGAAAAGATGCATGCTTGTAATGCCTTCTTTTACAGTCCTCCTAAGGTGTCTTCAACTGAAAACACAAAAGACATTGATCAACAAGCTTTTCTCGCTCTAAGGCTTCTGCTCGAAGTCGCGGACAGTGACGGATCACCAGGCCTTACTTCAGGGTCTTGTACGTGAGCTCTTTCACCTCCTCTCCGAAGAGCTCGCGGGCAGCGTGAGTGAAGACGTGCTGCAGGTAACCCCCCGAGCCTCCCCCGGCGTGACGGAGCAGCTCGTCTCCAGACACGCTGCTGAACCTGCACAGACGGAGAGAGAAAACAACACTGTATGCAAGGTGTGCGTACAGAACCTTTACCCTGCACTGGCGCCTCGGGCTTGAGTCCCTCCTTGAGTCTCTCCCGAGGTTCAGAAGAGAGTTGGTCAAGGGCGGAAAGGGGAAATACTGGCTGCCGACAGCGGTGAAAGGTCAGCATGTGGGACAGACAGAACGGGCAGTGGGGATGAGGGCCAGCGGCAGAGGCTCAAGGCGATTTCCAAATGACAGCTGCTCCAAAGCTTCTTGTGTGGTGAACCGGAGTGCGATTGGGAAAAGGCAGGCGTGCCGAACTCTGCCTGGAGCCCCGCCTTCACTGCACTTGACCGCATCCCATCTGGTGAGATACGCTTAAGAAGAACGCACCTGATCAGAGCTTCATTTTTTTTCCCCCCTGGAGAAACTCTGACCAATTGCACGCAGGAATTTGTTGGGAAGGAAAAAGCTGACTCCCCTGCACCTTTCAGCCTGGGCTGTTAGCTGTTCAGTTCGAGCAAGACCAACACTGATGTTATTAAAGTCATCAGAGAACAATAAAATAAGATTAGGTCTGCAATACAGTAACTAGAGCTTGATGATGTTTGCCCAAATAATTACCTTCCTCACAGTATATAAGATAAGATCGCTTTATTGGCCATATACAATTTCTTGCATTAGGAATTTGTCTTTTCGCATACCCCAGCTTGCTCTCCATGAGACAGACAGGGAGAGAGCCTGGGGTCAGAGCACAGGGTCTGCCATTTATACAGCGCCCCTGGAGCAGTTGGGGTTAAGGGCCTTGCTCAGGGGCCCACTGGAGTAGGATTCTTCTGCCGGCCGCGGGATACTAACCAGCAGCCTTCCAGCCACAGGCGCAGATCCTTAGCCACAGAGCCACCACACCACCCCACCGCCAAAGCAATATAACGCAAACTAAAGAGAAGGCATCTGAAGAGCTATTGACAAATAAGTTAGCAAAATGTAAAAACTGTGCCGGTGCTGTGATACTCACATGGTGTCCAGAGGCGCCGGATCCACGTCACCCAGGGAGACGCCCTCCTTCTCCAGCATCTTCAGCACCTCACCTGCGTGGGGAGGTCAGAGCGAGGGAGGTCAGTCCCGGCCGCGGCCGTTCGCCCCGAGCAGCCCCCGTCCCCGCCGATCGCAGACGCTCTGCCCGAGAGGGACAGCGAGGGGCGCCTGGCTCCACGGGCACACTGCGGTACTGCCCACTGCGGTACTGCTGCTGAGCCGCTGGGCTGTCCACTGCCAATCTGCTCTCGGGGGGGGTGGGGGACTGCGTGACTGAAGCCACAGCTTTGGATTTGATCGTGATTTGATCAGCAGGACGTAAAGGAGACCGCTGATCTGTCCGCTGTTGATAAACCATCCTTCCCCAGTTCCCCTTTTTACATGCTTTTATACTGAAGCCCTGTTACAGAGATGTAGAACAAAGCTCCTTTAAACTAGAATAGTTTAGCCAGCTATATAAGTGTAAGGGATTATTAATTATAGAATAAGATTTTAAGGAAGGTGACAAGAGCAGGCCGTTCAAGTCCAGCCTGTCTGGTAGTAGTTTTTGAAAGCCAGGGTATCAGCTGACACCACGGCCGGAATGGGGCTGATCTCAC